CGATAGACGGCCACGTCTGAGCCGAACACAAACCCCGCCACGGTTACAACCCTACTACCGTGACAACCACAGGGCTTACGATTCATCAGACGAATCGGACGACCCTCGCCAGCCTTCGGGTCAGGGCCTGCGAACCAGGCAGATAGAACCTCAGGCCAAAGATCTGAAGCGTTTTGACCCAGATAGCCCAGATTCAAGTATTAACGATTACCTTAGAGAAGTTGACCATTGTCTCCTTGACCTGCCTCATGCGTCCTCACATGAAAAACTGAAACGGATCTGGAAGACTACGGCTAGGAGTGTCCGTGATTTCATGGGGACACTCCCACCAAAGGTCCGATCCTTGCAGAAAGGAAACAAATCTGTTAATCAGCACTTACAAACTGCCAAGCAGAAAGTGTTGGACATGCTTGAATTAATTCAGGGAGCACAGGTAAGCATGGAGCAAGACACATCGTCAGGATATGACTCTGATCCTGGACCAAGCCCCTTAAGAGATCAAACAACCCTGCTGAAAAAGCTCAGTAAAGAACCGAGCAGCCAGGATAACCCAAGGACTGAGGAAATAAGTCTAGTTTTCCCTGATTTTGACTGTGGAGCCCCGCTCCTTGGGGAAACGCCCCAGTTCTCTGACAACTGTGACACCCTTTCACACCTTCACAGGTTTGAATCACCACATAGGAAGGGGGGTGACTTCTCAGCCCCCAGAGGCAGAGATAACACCAGGCCCCCTCCTGCTACTGTAGGTTCCCATTGCAGGATTCACAGCTGAGGAATATCCAAACCTCAGATGACTGGATGGCTCCCTTCTACCCAGAGATCAAAGAATGCGATAAGGCTCATTGAATCTATGGCACAGGATGTAGAGCGGTTTGATCCAGATAACTCAGACCTCTGCATCGATGATTACCTCAGAGAGATTAACCTGTGTCTCAGTGAGGTACCTGATGCATCCACAAGAGAAAAACTCAGGCTGATCTGGAAGACAACTTCCAAGAGTGTCCGTAACTTCACGACTACCCTTCAGCCTGAGATCAGATACCAGTACTCTGCGCTCTGCAATGCTTTGCGCCAGGAATACTCCACCTACATTGACCCTGCATCTGCCCTTCTTAGTGCTTTCAGTGTCTTGCACCAGAAGCACGAGGCCCCCAAAGATTATTACTGGCGACTTAGATCTGCATATTTCCAGGGACGTAAGGCTCCAGGTTTGGAAGAGAACCCAACTTTCAAGTCCATCTTCATGCACAATCTGCATGGCTGCGTGCGTTCAGATGTCACCCTGCATAGTCGTACACATCAGCTTAGTATGAAAGAGATCAAGAGATTCGCACAGGCGGTTTGGCAGACACGCTTACGCACGTGTCACGTGAGGGCAACAAGTGCCTTGTGCTAAGAATAAGAGACCATATCACCGGCAGAATAGAGAACAGAGCCAGGGGGGTGGGACTCAACCACAGAGTAGGTTCCAGCCTGGAGAACTGATCGCTACCAGATCGAACGGAACTCTCGGGATGGCCGTAGTCTGAGACAGAAGGGTAGGTATAATCGGAGTTCCTACGAGCTCCCTAAGGACTCCCTCGCTTACAGAGAACCCGATTCTGACTCCACATAGGAGTGGGGGTGTAGCCTCCATTCTAGAAACACAACAATGTCACTCTACCGACATGAATGTTTCCTAGTCCCTGTTTTGTGTTTTGACATTGGTAGGGAGACACATAATGTACATGTACATTTACACACCTACATGCCACAAACACCTTCCCACAGGCTTACTCCTGCCCAGGCTAGGAGTTAGCCCACAAATCTACACCTTATACTCTTCTCTTTCTCCCTCCTTTGTCTGTTTGTTTCATTTGTTTTGTTAAAGAATGCACCTTGAGTAGCAAAGCTTTGCTAATGCCTGGTTATGTTTTATGCCTAGCTTTAGACATAGTTAGACAGTCTGCCCAGACTTTGCCTCAGTGTCTGCCCAGACCGAATGCCTCTCAAAATGTATGGACTTTTGCTCACTAACTATTTGAAATTTGTCTCCTCACACATGGACTGTTGGCCCTATTTGCCCTAAAGACCGCGACCCGCAATCCCATTCTTCAGGACAAAGGGGGATGTTGGGCCACGCAGGCTTAGAACAGTCAAGCAATGGACTTGGGCCTGCACCTCTGTAAAAGCCTCATTTGAGTTATTCACTGAGATCACAAAGAGGCCTAAAAGGACTCTTAATCCCAGAATCCCCTGCGGTACTTCACACCTACGTGTGAAGTAAAGGGGGGACCGGAACCTCTCTCTCCTCATTGGAGGGGACCTGAGGTAGACCCCCATGGAGCAGGCCAGGCTACAAAACTCCAAGACTTCCATTGCTCGCTCTCTTTCACGCGCTGACCTTCGGTGCTCGGAGACCCAAGAAGATCTCCTGTTTCCTGCAACAATCTTCCTTTGTTTTAAGTTTTGGCGCGCAGGTAATCCGCGGCCGGCAGTGTTCTAAATTCCGAGCTCGGATTGTCCAGTGAACGCATCTCAGTTTCTCGGAGAGCGTCAGACTATAACAGATTATCAGAAAGATAACGGTCTTATTCCGTCCTGCAACGAAAGGACATCAAAGGACATTTTTCCACTCGACGGAGAACCAACGAAGCCGCTCTCGCCGTAAGGGACCCTCGCCGCCATCAGACGCCTCTGCACCAGGACGGACAGAAGATCTGCTCCATCGCCGGACTCTTTTCCTTTCACCAATCGCGGGCAAAGCGATTCACAAGTGAGGCTTAATTAGGTCTGGGCAGAATTAGCTTTAGAGAGTGTTTTTAACAATTGTTGATCAAAGCAGAAACTGTAATTTTTATCTTTGTTGGACCTGCGTCCTGAGTTTTAACTGTTTAAAACTCTTGTTGTTTCGGACCGCTGCGTCCTATATGTGTTTAGTGTAACAGCGTTATAACCGGGTGTTACTCTTCTGATCAGAAAGGCCAGTGTAAGCTGTATTAACTTGAATTCGGCTATTGGTTTGTTTCTGTGAATGAAGAAAATTACTCCGAGTTGTGGCGCGGGAGTCGGACTGTGATCCGGCCTCTTCAGGCACGCATTTCTCTTTTATTCTCTTTTATTTCCCCTTCTACGCACACACATACACACATAGTCCCGTGTAAACGTACACCTGGAGACCAACTCCACCACCGTGCCATTACGCACAGAGATCTATACACTCGCGGCTATCCAGACGCCTCAGAGACACAGATCGTGTAGGGCCGAACTCAGTCTCTTTTAGAGCTTAAGGCCACATTTAGGCCTTTGTTAGGTGTGTGCCATCGGAAGGGCGACCACGTGGGACGAAGTAATCTTCCCCCCCCTTCTCTCTCCCTTTCATCCACACGTGCACGCACCCAGGTCTTTGTTAAGTTTGCGCCATCGTGAACGACCACGAGGGTACGAAGCCATCTCCCCCCCTTTCTTCTTCCCCCTCTCTCTCTCTCTCTCTCTCTCTCACACACACACACACACACACACACACACACACACACCTACATTCACACCTCATCCACAAGCCTTTGCTTGATAATGTTTGTTGCTTAGATTAGTTTATAATAGTTATTTGTTTAATTAAGTTCATTGATTTTGGATTGATGTTGCTTTGTTTAAATAAATTCTGTTATAATTTAAGAGAGCAGTTGTTTGTGGTTACTGGTGTATTTACATTGTGATATAAGCTGGGTGCGAAGGCTTTGTGTACGGATTTCACGCCTTCAATTTATGAAATATAGTTATTCATTATTAATAATATTAGTAATTAAATAACTAATTTGAGACTGATTTGAGTGATATTTTGGTTATATTTACCTGATTACAGGTTGGTGCCCCAAAACGAGATTAAACATAGTTTAATGATATTTTATTTATATTATTAATAATTAAGTATAATTATTAAAGAATATAACCAAAGTTGACTTGATACAACCCCAACACGTGTAACTTTGTTCAATACAGCACTACGCATATCCATGATACTAGAGTATAAACCCCAATACATCACTGGTATGAAAAGAGACACTTGATAATAATTTCAATTTCACAGCGTAAAAAGCCTGGGCACATAAGATATGAAGATTTTCTTCATTTTTGCTCACATTTGTTGCACAGCACATACATATTTGCTAACATGTGTATACGTATAACATTAATTACATAAAGAATAGGAGAGTCATTCACCAAAACAATTCCCTTTGAATTATCTTGAATCATGTCTTTGACTGCAAACAACTGCAGGGTTATGTGAAGGTGTATTTGTATTTATTGTGTTTTAAACATAAATGCTGTGAAATGATCAAAATATAATGTTTTATTTCTCAGATTTACCACTTAATAACTCTGCTAACTCTTCCACTTCCTCTGTAGGTTGGTTAACTACTGCCACTGTCTTTTGCATGCAACAGTTTGAGGTTTCATTTTTTATTGTAGATCTGTTTTTCAAGGTTTTGGTACTTTATGCTGCTAGGGAGTTTAAAATAAACTAAGATTGTATTGTTTTTAGTTACTGAAAAAGTTTTGATACATTTCACTACCTTATACTGTATGCATTCAAATACATTATTTTGATAAAGCCAACGATTCAGGTCTTCTCATTCAACACTTTTCTTTTACCCTTACTCTTTATGCTATTCACTGATCCATATGGTATGAATTCATGTTTAACCATTTACTGCACTGTCTGCAGTAAAGCATTAATTCATGGAGGACGTGATTAGCTTCTTTGCCATTTAACAGTTACAGATCCAAAACTTATAAGCTCATAGTATACCACTATTTTAATCATGAAGAGAAGTTGGCTCTGGGCTCTGATTTTATGTAATTTCGCAGATCATGTGCTCTGTAATATATTAATACAAACGTGTACTTAGTACTGATAAGTGTGCTTTTGATTAAGGCCACAACATGTAGGTTGTGCTTTATGGTTTGCTAGGAGCGAGGTTAACAGCAGTGATACTTATCATGCTTTTTACCTTTGACAGATTGTGGCTATGGGTGTCAGAAGTACCTGGTGCGGCTATTGACTTATCTGCCTGGAGCTACAATATCTAAGGCTCCAGTGACACCACAGTTACTGTATGAAACCGGCAAGACAGCAGCCAGAATGGACAAAATCCTAAAAGAGGTATACACTGCAGAAACCCTATAAAACTGTTTCTATTAATGACTTTGTTTTCTCATAGAAATACATGTATTGTTTTATGAAACTGTCCGGTGTGAAGTCATACTGCTACCAGTTTTTACAGGGAAAAGGGGCGTGGCCAACACATTTATATTCTCAGCTATACAGCTCCACTGTAACATAAGAAATGTAATTGTCTGGGGTACCTTATCCCTTCCCTTCATTTTATTTTGCCCCTTAAGAAAGTAATTGAAAAGGCCTTGATGAGTCACTCACTGCCTCTTATATACATGAAGGCTGACCACCTGAAGAGTCAAGCATTGCTTCTCAAAGCAGATCAGAGCTGAGAAACAAACACACCTTCCTTTAACTACTGTCTCACACCTTTTCCTCTGCTATCTGCTCTTCTGTATCATTATTTTATTTTTTTCAGCTGGAGCACCCTCATTTGGGTTTACTGCAGAGAGAGACTTTCATTTGGAGTCTGTCATTGGTTCCCCTCCTGGAAAAATACACCCACGTGTTGGATGGAGATCCTCTACAGGAAGTTGTGAAGTCTGTTATTCATCAGTTTAAAACCTCTGTGGTCCCCAAACGCTCTACTTTTCGCAAGTGTGAGTATGCTATTTACAGAGTAGAATAAATCATCTGAATAAATAGCCAATTCTGATTGGCTGCAGGGTGTTAACATATTCCTGATGGTTGGACACCTTCTAACTAGTACTAGTAGACTGTCTGTCTGTCCAGAGCTCTAAATGAATGCACTGCTTACGCATGAATATGTTTCTTAAATGAGTCGGCACTGTTTCCATGGCATCTGAACTTTACTAGATGGTGATGACTTTTTATGTCTTCAAATTTCTAGGCATAACAAGAAAACTAAGCTACAGCTTTTTTATAAAGAAATAAAAAACTGTGAGTTCTAGTGCTAGTTTGTATTCTTGTTTATGTATTGCATTTATTGCATATTTTTACATGGTTTCCTCATATTGTTCAGGGCTCATTTTGAAAGCAAAAGGCAAGTAAACATAACGTCTGGGTTGTATATGATTTCTTAAACAAAGGACCATGGAATTATTAGCAGGACACTTCTGTTACTAATGTCCATTGTCATTAATGTATGTCCATATACTCTTGGTAATGGACTCCTTGTCAGACATGATCCCTTTCTTTTTTAAGCATTTAAAAAATAGTGGTGGTAGTTTTCTTTGACACTTGTTGGGATTCTCATTGACACCATGTATTCTCTCAGCACAGACTGGATATGTCCTCATGCACTCTGGTTACAGCTAAACAACGCTTTCTGTATTTCTTTTAAGGCATTAACCACGGTGACTTCAATGACCTCAATATTCTTGTCCAACCTGATGAGACTGACGGCTACAGGATTTCTGGCATCCTTGACTTTGGAGACATGAACAGTGGCTACTACATCCATGAGCTGGCCATCGTTATAATGTACATGATGATAGAGCACCCTAATCCCATCGAGGTGGGTGGACATGTCCTGGCGGGTTGGGAAAGTGTCCTTCCCCTGAACGAGGCAGAGAAAGACTGTCTCTTTGTGCTGGTGCTGTGCCGCTTCTGCCAGTCGTTGGTTTTAGCTCGTTACTCAGTGACCTTGTACCCAGAAAATGCAGAGTATCTGATGATTACCTCCATTAAGGGCGTCAAGATTCTCCATCAAATGTGGGAGCTCGGAAAGGAGCAGGTGGAGAAGGTGTGGTTTCAGAGTGCTGCTCAGATCGGTGACAGAAAGTGAGAGGTATTTAGGGAAAGCCATTGCATTTAAAGAGACACACACACCAAAACAGAGCGTTCTGAGAGAGCTGGTTTATACAAGGTCACAAACTTCCTCTGGTGCTTGATTCATGTTATATTTTGACCAAAGCACAGCACAGATGTTTGATTTAGACAACAGGAGACTGTTTTAAAAGGTAGAAAAGGGGGGATAATATGTCCTCTTTAAAACAGTATATTGTGGGGTTTTCTTCAAATTGAAGAATCAGAAATATTGAAGTACTAATACGGTATCTGCATCAGCGATTGGTAGCATAGAAAATAACTTTAGGAAAGTCAGTTGAAAGTTTTTTTTAACCGCCTTCTGTCTGTCTTTCTCAATTGGTCATGGTCCATTGTTTCTGGCAGCCTTTACTGACTAGGTATTACCTTTTAGAGATGGAATAATCGTGTTTAAGAAGTGCCAAAAGTCACCAGGGATTATACAAGTCATTATAACTAAGTTTTCCTCTGAATGGTTACAGGTCACTTGGTTGGACTTTGAAGTCATTTTACTATAGGTTAGATAAGGCAGGGAGTGGTGTGCTTAAAGCAGATGGACCTAATGGTATGTGTATAACTCATAACCCGGTCTAAATGAGTGAACTGTGCTTGTAAATAGATGCAACCAAAATGATATTTGTTGATACCAGGGCAGTTCAAAAGATGAATAACATTCATTTGGTGACATTTGGAGACTTTTAATGACATGTACAGTATGTAATTCAAACACCAGTCTGAGCAATAAGTATTAATCCACAGGTTTATCTGCGTGTCCCTTTACAGAAGGGAAGGTAGATAGTGTGGCAGTTAAAGTTTCCTGTCTATTAACAAAGGATCAGGGTTTGATACTCGATCGATGCAAAGACACAACTAGCTGCCTGTTTGTAGTTCACAGAGTATTTTGTGCCTTGATAAGTAACAGTGTTATGGTTAGAAGACATGTTTGCTGTACCCTGACTGTTAAATCTGTCTTTATACTGTTTACATTTTATGAGATTTACACCAAAGATAATGTAAACGACCGAGGCTACTTTGTCTCCTCTCTAACTTGGCTCATTCCTGAACAAGCTAATTGCATCTGGTTGGCTCACATCGCTGACATGTTTACTTACACGCATCACATTTGTCTTGCTGAACATATTTTTTTTACATTCAATACTTTGGTGCACGCTGGTTTACTTTCTGATTTGATGGAAAAGCCTCATCTTTCTGGGTCCAAACATGAACCATTTTATACTTTTATACTGCTCCAGTCATCTCAATAAATGAAATAACACTACCGCCCTTAATGAGTCTGTTACATTTTTCAATAAAGGTATACAAGGATAACTGATTAGTTGTGAGACTTTGTAGTCTTTTACTGGTTCTTTCAGCAATAAAACAAAGTAGACATGCTTAAACTAGAACTAGAACATTACATACTTGACATGTATGACATTTGCTGGTAATCTGTGCAAAGAGATAACTGGGACTACAGTATGTTATACATGTGAACAGTTTATGTGGTTTTCCACATCAAACTCCTGTCAAGGAAATGAGAGATCATGAGTCAAAAAATAATCTCTATGCCCCCACATACACAGACGCACTCTTATACCTTAGTACAATCATACTGATCAAATACAATTCAATTTAAATGTTCATCAGAAATAAATGACTAGAAACATTTAAAAAGCAGTGTGTGATGAGGTACATATCTGTATCAGCATGCACACTGATGAGTGACAGAATTTGATCGTCTCATATAACACGTGAATAAACAAAAGAATAAATGATCTCAGTGAGGCTGTATTAAATGTATAACAGCTATGTATCACTGCTGTAGCACCATTTTATAAAAAAACATTTGAGATACTATCCTTAATAAATGAGCTCTACCCTGCTGAAGGTAATTACTGCTACATTTAGAATCTTTTTTTCAGTTTAATTATACTGATAAAGGGGCAGCTGTACTTGTTCCATAAAAAAAATACTGATGAGGCTTTGACCTACATTGTAAAAGATGTTTTGAACTGGTACGAGTTTAAAACAAGAAATTGGTAAGTCTTGTTACTACTTAACTTGTCCTTTGTTGCTAACTTAAATATATTTATTAGGACTGTGAGCAATAACGATTTGATCGCGATTATCAAGGTCTGAAATTAATGTTTTTTCAATTCGCGAATTATCGCATGCTATTTTGTCCCTTCAGGCGAACCGTGGATAAACCTCAGCTGTGTCTCTCTGTAGAATCATTGATGAAAAAGAAGTGCTGCATATTTGAATGTCTCATTTCACTTAAAAAAAACCCCAAAAAAACTTCAAGATGGATCTGTTGACGAGATAAATGTTATATACAACTCTTGACATCAAACATGTCACTTTTATGCCGTTCCTTCTAGCTGTTTTCATTTATTTGCTTTATTTCAAAATAAAAGCCGGGTTGAATTGAAACAGCAAGTAACGTACTCTCTGTTTAAGACAGTACAAATAGCCCATAAAACACTGAAATATTTTAAACCAAGAAGCAAACGTGTAAACAAATTTTAAGATCACTTTAAAGACGACCATACATGTATGTTCTATAAAACAGTAAAACATTGATCTTGTCTTGTGTCATTTCATTGTTTTTTTCCAGTTGATCCTAAAAGGTTTACCGCACTAATACAAATAATAAATCTCTTATTGGAAACCAATCAGTTACAATACATACAGATAATATATTACTTGTAGATGTATTAAAAATGAATTTAACTGTTTTAGAAATCAAATATAGTTGGCTACAGATAAATTAAGAATTGTTGAGTAGGCCTACTTTATCCCCCCTGTAAAATGTGATGTAATACTGCCCTCTTGTGATCCTCATAAAACCCTACTCCTATTGAGGGCAAACAAACCCCCAGTCAACTTCTTCTACAGTATGCACTTTTGATGAAGTAGCATTCATCTCTTTGAGTTTTTCCCCGCCTCCGGCAAAGTGGGACTGGTTCTCATAGTCAAAATTCTTTACCATTATCCTGTAGGAGTCAGGACAGGTTTTTAGAGCTTCAGGCTCACAAACCCCCAACTGTTCCATTCATGGTTTATATTTCATTGAGGCTTTTCACAGAAAGGATTCAGAAAAGATGGATTTTATCAGCAAAGAGAAATAATACAAGTATTCTATAAAAACTGTTCCGTTTGAGAACTGTGTGAAACATAATATTTATCCATAATCATTTAAAAAAAAAAAATTCAAACACTGAATATGTTTTCGCTTGGACATGAAGAATGTTTGAATACCCAAACATATGTTTCACTTTGCTTGAGGGGGGAATCGAGTTTGACTGGAATGTCCACAGAGTTGTGATAAAAAGCCAATAGCAAAGCTTGAAACAAACTCTATAGCTACATCCCCTCAACTCCTCCTGCACACTCTCAGCAGAAAGACGATGGGTAAGCAAACTAATATTCTGTTCAATTACTGAGACATATCTTTCAAAACCTTTTTTTTAATCATTCATAATATTTGTCAGCTGTTCTAGTTTATTTTTAAATGAATATCTGATTTAAAATAAGTGTTTGTAGGAGCATTTAAACCATTTTATAGAATTCACTGAATGGTTAAAAACAACTGGGAGAGTATTTGAAGATATGAAGTGACCTGGGGCCCGTTTCTGAAAGAAGGTTCAACAAACCCTCAGTCTAACCCTGAGCTCTGAGT